GTCCCTCCTGCCTCCTGCCCCCAACTGCCTCCGCCAGGGGCTCAAGCGAAACCCTGGGATCTTCCTCACATCTTATTTTTCAAGCCAACCTACCAGTCGGAGCATCTGTCCCCTGGTGGTTAGTGTGGGTCATAGCGACTGGTTGAGCAGTGGAAATCCCAGGGGAACTCCCAGTCCAGGGGACAGTTTGCATATTAGGCTTTTATTATATAGGACTAGAGGCCCAGTGCATGAAAATTTGTGCACTCAGGGGGGTCCCTCAGCCCGGCCTGAACCCTCTCACCGTCTGGGAACCCTCAGGGGTTGTCTGACTAAGGCCTTAGGCCCGCTCCAGGGAGTGGGCCTAAGCCACAGTTTGGCCTCCCTCTATGGGAGGCGACCAGGTGGGCCTATCAGGGGGTGGCACCAGCCAGGGAACGGCTGGCAGTGCCCCCGATTGTCCCTCTTGCTGCCGCCCCTTGATCACTGTCTCCTCTCTTTGCCCCACTGGCATGAGCCTTGGCCGGCCCCACCCCGCACCGATCAGTCATTCTGTTGTTCAGTCAATTTGCATATTATGCTTTTATTATATAGGATGGTTGTTTTCACCCTATCATAGCAGAGCTGTGTTATTGCAATTGAAACCATAAAGTTCAGAAAGTCTAAAGTATTTACTACCTAACCCTTTAAAGAAGAAAAGTATTCAAGCCCCTGGTATGAATATACAACTATTTACATATTTTCTTATATGCTGATGTTTCTTTATTTTTTTTAATAATGTTCCATTTATTGGTTTACTTTATTTCTATTTACTGGATCTTTCTTTTTTAATTTAATTTACCTTTATTGTTATAATATTACAGATGTCCCCTTTCCCCATCGACCCCTTCCACTGGACCCTCCCTCCCAGGCTTTCACCACACTATTGTCTGTGTCCCAGATATGAGTTCTTTGGGTTATATCTCCCACACAGTCCCCTCCCAACTTTTTACTTCATAATAGATATTTAATATATTATAAAATCAAGAGAAACAATTTACATTTTAATAAAAATATTTCATATTTATGTTTTCCTATAAATTTGATAATGAATACATAGTTTGTCCCTAAACCATGTTGCTTATTCATGATTCACCACAGTGTACTAGTGACTTATACTAGTAAATGTATTGGCTCCATAGCTAGAATAATTTCACATTCAGTTAAAATATGCCACACTACTAGTGAAATAAGAGGCTTCAAATAGATAATCAATTAATTTCAATAGTGGTTTGGTTATTCCATCCAATTCATTGGGAAAAAATTAAAGCTTTACAAAAGTGTATTCTGTTGAAGGCAAGATATCCGACAGTATTAGAAATGCTATTGAAAATTTAGTAAGAATGTTTAAAGATAAAGTTATTGTTGTTTTAAAATTATATATTTTATTTAGTATATCCTAATATATATTGTTCTAATTATGCTGAGAAAAGGATGGGAAAATGTACTTGTAATTTATTGTCATACACACATAATTCATATTGTCAATCCAAAATAGTTGGGATATTCAGACAATTGGATTAGAATCTCTAGCTGAAAATTTCACAAATAACTTTAAATATTTACAAGACAGCACACTAAATTTTTTGTGACAAACTGATATTGAAAAAAAAGTTGCATATCAGAATGTGTTTTCTCTCACTGTTGTCCACATTTAGATTTTAGTGATGTTTAAATTTCTGAGGAATGACTGAAAATAAACCAAAGTATTTTAGGGATGTTTTGATATGTAAGTGGAAGAAGCCTTTAAATGTTGGCTATATCTTGTTTAAAATCAGTTATTTAATTAAAAAATAACATTAAACACAAAAAATCAGTTTTTGAAAGTGTTAGTGAGGTGTACTTATTTTTTTAAAAAAGCATTAAAGTTTATTCCTGCACAATGCAATGAAGACACTTAACAAATTTGATAAGTTCAAAAGTGTACAACATTATAAACACTATAACTCTGCTTTGCAATAGCTGGACATGTGGGAAACACTATTTGAAGGGAGCACCTATATTTCATGGATAGATTGATGTGCTAGAACAAAACGGAATTAAATAGAAAAGGTCTATAACTCTGCAGCACCTAAGTTTGGCCAACACTCAAAGGGATTATATATTTAGAGATCATTTGTTTTGTGAGGATTATTTTTGAAAATGTGTGTCAAATAATTCTGAATAGAATAAAAATATGGATCTGATGTAAATATTTGATCTATGTATTTTATACAAAAAATAGAATTGAGGATACTTTCCATTTAGCAGATTTTCCCAAGAGATGAACAGAAACCTCAATATGTGTACAGTGACACTTTTTTCAATGAATAATGGCATAATTAGAAAAAAAGTTGAAAGCAATAAATTTAAAGCTATCAATAATAAATGCAACTTTGAACAAGGTATAGATGATTTTATGAAAAATTAAGATAATAAAACCATATGAAAAACATACTCAATCTTCAGAAAAAAATAGTATTAGAGATAAATATGACTAAACATAGTTTCTATTGAAATTATTTTGTAATGTTCAGATAATCAAAATAAAATATGTTCAAAATTTTCCCTTTGATTTACAGATATCAAGTTGAAATAATTTGCTTTGGAAATAATTTTATTTAAAATAATTTTGTATAAACTATTTCCGATGTCTGCTTATTTAATGAAATGAAATTGCCAATCAATAAATAACTGTTTCAAATATTATGCAATTATAACCGAGAAAAGTTAGTAAGCTAAGACTAGTAGAACAGGGAAACTGAGAGACAGCTGAACAAACTGGAAGAACAATTTACAGCAGGTACAGAATGTCGCCAGGCGGAAAGCCCCAGGTGCCTAACAAGGGGCAAAGCTAGGGCAACAAGGGCCTCGCCCCCAGGGTGACCTTCCCACCCTTAGCATATGGCTGCTCATGTTGTTTAGACCCCCTGACCTTTCCTCCCTAGAGATAACATCTAGGCCTCAATTGTATGTCAGCCCCAGTCCCAGAAGCAATGCCATTGCTGACCTCAGAACCAGCTGCCTTGACTAAGGACCACCTGCCCTCAAGCCCACCAATCAGGGGAGACCACGACCCTAAAAGAGCACACCAGCAAAGCCTATGAATAGTCTATTGAGACCTTCCAGGAGAACTCCCCTAAGATTCTGGCCTGGAAGAGAGAAATAAATAGCCTCAACACAAAAGATGCCGTATGTGCCCTCTCTCAGAAGCACACCTGCACCATTCCCTTTCCCTGTTATTCTAAGGAACCTCAGGAGACTTGCCTCAGGGGAGTGATGGGCAGTGACAGCGTGTCCTACACTAAACCCCTGCACCTGTCTCCTAGGTCCCCTTTTACTCTGACTTCTCAGGGAGCTAAAGCAGCCCGGCCTAGACTCGCCTGTTGCTCCTTCCATGCTAAGCTCTTCCTTGGTTCACTGTCCTGCGTGTGCTCTTACTACAGCCAATAAGTCATTGCTTGCTTTGCTGGATTTTGTTTTGACTGAAATCTTTCCTTCAAAGAGACAAGAACCAAGGTCTCATCCTCTCAGCAATAACATAACTGCTTTTAGCTACCTCTTTTGCTCAAAAATGCTATTATTTGAAGGCAATTACATGGTTGCTATATGTATGTAGCATATGGTAAGAGACTGTAAAACATCTTTCATCTCATAACATACCTCAAGGAAACAAAAGACTTGAAGGAAAAAAGACTGGAAAAGATTTATTTGAAGATAATTGGAATTCCTTTTTTTTAAGGTTTCATCTTTTTTAAATTCTGTATCAATTGACATTCAGTATCATATTATAGTAGTGTTAGGTGTACAGCATACTAGTTAGAAAATTATATAAGTTACAAAATAATTTCCCCAATAATTCTAGTACTCACTTGGCTCCATACATAGTTACGATTATATTATTTACTATATTGCCTGTACTGTTCTTTACATCCCCATGATTATTCTGTTACTGCCAAATTGTACTTCTAAAATCCCTTAAATTTTTTTAATCAGCTCCCTAGCCCCCTCTGATCTGGCAACCCTCAGTTTTTTCACTGTATTCATGAGTCTATTTCAACTTTGTTTGCTTATTTTGTTTTAGATCCCACATATAAGAAAGTTTGGATTCTCAAAAGCTAAACACAAAATTCTAAATCCTATTGCTTTCTTGCCTTTGCTGTTATATCAAGTTTGTCAAATCCCACTTACATAAACTATCGTGGTCTTACCATATCATATACCATAACCTTGCATACAGTATTTTTCAATGTAGTTAATCATCTCATAAAACCCTTCACAGAAGAATGTGCCTAGAATATTTCAGGGCATGGCAAGTGGACAAATGTTACTACAAAACAGTTATGCACAATTTGACAAAATACCCCCAATTCTATTTTAATTCTTAATTTTAAGCAGTTTTTTCCATGATCAATGATGCCTTTCAAATTCCTTGTAAACTCTGACATCCCTGCCTCAGAAGTCTCCTTCCTTCATTCACCTCCAAACAACTTCCAACACAATGAAATATAATTAAATATAAATGTGTGCCAAAATATTCCCACATATAAAAACAAAATTAGCCGAACCGGTTTGGCTCTGTGGATAGAGCATCGGCCTGCGGACTCAAGGGTCCCAGGTTTGATTCCAGTCAAGGGCATGTACCTTGGTTGCGGGCACATCCCCACTGGGGGGTGTACAGGAGGCAGCTGATCGATGTTTCTCTCTCATCGATGTTTCTAACTCTCTATCCCTCTCCCTTCTTCTCTGTAAAAAATCAATAAAATATATTAAAAAAAATTAACAGTAGACTGTTTGTAGGTCATGTCCTTTCGATCTTAGTGAGTGTAATGGGCTAAACTGTTATACTCCCTCCATTTGTTGAAATCCTAATTCCAAGACTGCATAATTTGACAATATTTGAAGGTAGAATTTTTGTATTTTGGTAAGTAGCAGTTTATGAACTCACTTTATTTTCATATTTTAATAGAATTATGTTATTTATAAAGTCATCTTACCTCAAAATGGTGGGGGACAGATACATTCATATCCTTGCTCATTCCATTTTTCTCTTTTATTAATGCAACTGCCATTATTTTTACAGGGTTTATAAGAACATGCATCAACTTCCTGGCAGTATTTTCCAGAAAATGGAGTCTCACAATGACAGTTGTATGTCTTGCTCCGAATTTCAGTAAGACATTTGCCATGCCCAGAGCAATATTCTGAATTCAGACATTCCTGGCAGAACTGCTCTTTCACTGTCACATTTAGTCGAAGTCCCAGTTGACAAAGCGATGGACCACTTGCCATTACTGTAATACAATAATGTGTCCCAACAGTCAGCCACTGAGAGCTAACAGTGTGCATTCCTTTTAGTTTGCAACCGAAAAGTAACTGCTCTTCAGCGGTGGTATTCTGCAGACAGTCAATGAAGGATGCTTCAGAAACATTCATCAAATTTAGTTCTGGAGAGTGAAGAGATGGTTCAGAAGAAATTACAAGGTTGTCTCCTAATTGAGTTTTCAAAGGGCAAATCTGGGGGACAGCTAGATTGCCTGAAGTACTCATTTTAGTATTTATGTCCTCAAACCAGCAATCTCCATAGGCGTCCATGCAAATGTTTCCTCTTACTGTCCAATTCACCACATATGATGAGGGTTGTGCATGCCATTCTTCCACCAATTGCCACTTACATGTTGTTTTTCCATTTATAAACATGCAGTGAAGAGCCAGCAGGCTCAGAAGCATAATTGATTTGTTAGTCATTACAGGAAATTGTATTTTACAGTCTATCATGAAAATGTCATAAATGATTGCTTGACATGGGCTTTCAATGTTGCTGGACATGTCTAAGCAGAGATTGTGTTCAGGGATTCCTGGGAACTGGCTCTGGTTTTCTTTACTATTCCCAAAGTGCAAGTGAACTTAAGAATTGGATATTGATTAAGAAACAGGAGGTTCTGCTGTTTTAAATAACCCTTCAAACAGAAAAGCGTACATTGTTATTGAGTGTTTTCCTAAATTACTTAATGATGCAAAAATTTCTTGCTGTTTTCAGAAAAACTGTGTCACTAGCAGATAGGCATCTACTCTGTGAAAAATTGTGGTTGTTATGTTGTATCTCACCCTTCCCTATATAATCACCTGGTGCTGAAAAGGTTTGGTGTCACTGTGTAATTGAACCAGCAACTTACTATATATATAAGACAATAAAAGCATAATATGCTAATTAAACTGGAAGTCCTTCCGGACATCCTTCCAGACGACCTTCCAGACGAAGCTGGGGCTGTGAGGGAAGCCCGGGTCCTGGATGCCTGCTGATGGCTGGAGGGAAGCTCAGGTCCCGGGTGCCTGCCGGCAGCCAGAGGGAAGCCCGGGTCCTGGGTGCTAGAGGGAAGCTGATGCTGGCAGCCAGGGGAAGGAAGGCCTACTCTTGCACGGATTTCGTGCATCCAGCTTCTAATTCTTTTATATCAAGCTTGAACATAACTGGAACACAGCAATAGTCAACATCTTTAATGGATAGATGTGATTTTCTTCAGATATAAGTATCCATCTCTGATTAGTTTTAGGGAAAAAAAACATTTTAAAAGACATAAAATAAGAATTAAATGATTTAAATATAATATATAATATTCATGTAATATTTTATACAAATATAAGCCCTAAGATACCTCTTGGTGACAAATCATGTTCTTCTAATGGGTAATCCAGGAGGTGGAAGCTCTCACATACATAACAGACACATAGAATATTCTGTTGTACATATGAGTAAACTTAGAATGAGTTTTTTTTCTTTTTTTCTTTATTGATTAAGGTATTACATATGTGTCCTTATCTCCCCATTGCCCCCCTAACCCCCACTCATGCCCTCACCCCCCTGTTTTCCGTGTCCATTGGTTAGGCTTATATGCATGCATACAAGTCCTTTGGTTGATCTCTCCCCCTTACCCCCACCCTTCCGCAGGAATGGTGGGAGCATGGCAGAAAGTGTAAAATGGTGTGATGGAAGGACGCTAAATAGAGGCAGTGTGGCAGTAATGTTCTCTTTCATCACTCACCACACGTGTGAAAGGAGGGGTCAGGGGATCAGTTCTGTGGGAAGACATCACTACTCCCATGAAGAAGGCAATCAGATTTAATATACTGACCCAACTAAAATATAGTAACTACCACATACTGAGGTTTTTCGCAGTGCAAATCACTACTCTGTTTGATTAAGAAATAAACTATAAACCTTATAACAAAACTCAAATTCAGAGAAGAAAGCAAATGGTATAGCAGAAATATATGCTCTTTAGATTTCAGTTATGTTATTTATTCATTCTATGTTCATAGGCCACATGAGCTTTAATTTGCTCCACTCTTCCACAGGTAAGAATATATTAATATATTAATTTAAAGAAATTTATATAGAAGTATTTAATTGACAAGGTAGTAGTGAAGATTGAATTAGACTATTTAAATGTATATGTTATTCAATAAATGGTAGCTTTTATTATCCAATTTCACTTAGCAATTAAAATCCAGGTTTATCATACTTCAAATCACAGCATTTCTAATATACCTTGACTATCAATTAAATATTGTTAAAATAAAATATTTATGCCGTTATAATATGGAATTAATTTGTTAATATCAAATATTTATGGAAAGTCTAATATCTTAATGGCTATTTTAGATCATATAGAAATTAAATTTATTATAAATTACCTCTTTGCAAATTCAGTTGTGGATGTTATAAATCTATAAAATATTAATTCACATAAGTAATATATTACCTTAGTACGCACACAGAAAAAGTTAAATTATAAGTTTCTTAGAACCAAAAGTTTTGTGTGATCATGTTCATTTGAAATATATCAATTATAAATTCTGGATTTAAATTAATAATCTTGCTAAGATATAAAGAATACTTTAAACAAATCTATTTTATTTTAATCAATGTGCATGGCAACATGCTAGGTACTAGGAATTTATCAATGACTGAGTGGAAGTAAGTATCAGTATAAAGAACTGAAAACTCAATGAAGGAGACAGATTATTAGGCAAGTATCATCACCAATTTATTATAAAAAAAGATAGTCTAGAGAACTATAAAAACATATAGCAGAGCCATTTAATAGGGAATAAGGATGAGCTTGGGCAATAAAATGGATTCATCTGAGAAAGTTGCCAAGGAGGGGAATTCCAGAAGAAAATGTCTAAAGACTTTGAGATGAGTGTGACAACGGACTTTTTTGAAGAAGTAAGATAAGTTGTGCAGAGAGAAAAAAAATTATGATAAAATATAAGCTCTTGATTTACACAGATAGTATATCCAGAGGGGCAGGCATTGTTAGTAAAGGAGCTTGCATTTTATTTGAGGACATTGGAGAACTTATTGAAGATTTTATGTGGGAGATTAACAAGAACACATTTTATTTTAATGACGTCAGTTTATTTGAAGTGTGAGGAATGCACGTACTCGTGGGTACAATTGAGAGAGTGGAGAAGGTAGAGAAGGCAGTAGCACTAATCTAGTGAAACAATAGTGATGGCCTGATGAGAAAGGTGCCAGTAGAAATATAATAACATTGATAGAGTTGAGAAATATTTAAACAGTAGAATTGCAAGGTCTTAAAGGCTGTTGACCTAAGTAGAGAGAAAGAAACTCAGGAGGAGTAGGTGCATAATCAAGATGGTAAGGGAAAGGGGATGTCAGAATCACATATGTACATATTGAATTTGAAGTCCATCTGAACACTTTTGTTGTAGAAGTATTCAGACATCAATGGTATGTAAAGATATGAGCATAGAGGAGATGCTGGGCTGGAAATCTAAACATGATCATACTAATCATATATTTTTATATTTCAATACATATGTACAATTTTGGAAGATTGTTTTAAAATGTGAAAGACTTGATCTTATTTAAACATGAGGAAAGAACAAACATGGAAGACAAAGCAGTATGGAAGAAAATAAGTGTCAATGTATATAGTGCAGAGTAGGAGAAAAGAAATTAAGATTATTGTAGATTATTAAGGTTGTGACTTTGGTGGCAGGAAGTTGAGGAATTTACCTTGTGGGATTTTCTATTTTCTCTATGAAATAAGAGATGATTAGTGGAGATGGTGAGTTTGGAGGAAAGGATTGGGCAAGATTTGAAATAAACAGTGAGAAAAATATGAGAGAATGTTAAGACAAAAGAGAAGGATCAATAGGCAATACTGAAATACGTCTGTGGCTGTTAGAAACACATTTAGAGTAGTATCAGCCTGCACAGGTGCATTATTTTCCCAGTAGCCCAGTTGAAATGTATATAATAAAAATAAGTAATAAATGGGCTTAAACAAATGGAGTTACCAATTTATTTCCACATAAAAATGCTAAGAAAATAATGCCATTTGCATTGAAGAAGAATTAAGTCTGTGTGACATTTTTAGACTAGCTACAGATGTGAGCTCGCAATATTGCGTGGCTACTTCCATGCTTCTCAGAATTCTCTGGGTCCCTAATTATTGTGCATTCATATTTTCAAAGAGAAAGTGACTTGATGTATTATGTTTCTATCTCAAGAAAATTTAAATAAATAGAAATAGAAGCAAAACATAAAAACCCAAAAAACTTGTATGAGGTCAATTTGCTTCCATATATGCTGAATACAAAATGCATTAAATTTTATTAGAACAAGATTGATATAAGCATCATTTGATGCCTTTGAATAAGGAGCTGTAATTTGGACTTAAAAGATAAATATAATATGTAACTCAGTTCTTCTTCATTTATAATGACACTAGAGGCCGGGTGCACAGATTCATGCACTGTTGGGGGCGTGGCCAGCGAGGATCGGCCGCTGTGAGAGCGATACTCTCCTGCATTGAGAGTCTGCCCCTTGGTGGTCAGTGCACATCATAGAGACTGGTCAACTTGTTGTTCTGGTGGTTCTGCCGTTCAGTCACTGGGCTTTTATATATATAGATGGTTCTACATCCCACAGAGTTTAAGTTGTATTTTCATTTCCATTTAGCTCAAAATATTTTTTAAATTTTCCTTGAGACTTCTTCATTGACCAACATGCTATTTAATAGTGAATTTCCCTGGCTGATGTGGCTCAGTTGGATGAGTACCTTTCCATGCACCAAGAGGTTGCAGGTTCGACCCCCTGTTGAAACACATGTCCAGGTTGAGGGCTCAATCCCCAGTAGGGTGCATGCAGGAGGCAACCAATGGATGTTTCTCTTTTCCTCTCCCTTCCTCTCTCTCTAAAAATCAATGAATACATATTTTAAAATAGTTAATTGTTAGATTTCCAACATAAGACAGAAAATAAGGCTTTCACTTAATAGATGTAAAAAATACAATGTAGAATGACTATCTTATCAAACTTTCATCAAATGTATCCCATCACATCTGCAGTACCTAAACATAGAAACTCTGGAGTAAAAAAAAAAAAGCCTGGTTATAATTTTTGGTTACCTTTCTACCTACCCTACATTAGAGAAATTAGCACAGTTTCCTCATCTGTAAATCAAAGTAATGATTGTTTTTTATCTCATAGATTGTGAGAATTAAATGAAATAAACCATAAAGCTATTTTGATAGCTCAGTCCTTTCAAATAGAAAGTTAGTAAATTTTTTAAAATAGTATATGTATATGTGGTGAAGTCCAATAACTAGATTTCTTTAAAAATACTTCTATGATATTTCTTAGACTAATTTATATATGCAAACATATATGAAAGATCACATAAAATGCCCATATTAAGGAAAGGTAACAATTT